TGAGCCCGGTGGCTAGGCTCTCCTCCAGACACGGCACATCGGTGCTCCGGTCCCTGCTCACAGGTTTTAGATCTCCAGGGAGCTCTGCTGGAAAAGTTGATGTGTTTCAGGGTTTTAGAGACTCGCAGGATTATGTGGCAGCTGAGAAGAAATCACAGTGCTGGGCATCAGCTGCCAAAGGGATGAGGTGTGAAGGCCTTTTTGTGCTTCTGCCAGGAGGATGAAAATTTTAGCTACAGCATTTGTCCCGGGGGGACCTGCTGGTGCACAGCCTCACTGGTTTTAAGGGAAGCAATTGCCTGGGTCCTGGGCATGGAGGGCCTGACCCTGACAAGGCAGAAAAGCTTTGCAAGGCATTGAATGTGTGGGGAAAGAGCCCGGGAGCTGGCTCTGTTGGTGACCTGGTGGGGTGAGAAGGTGTTTGGGTGGCGAGTCACAAGCCCTCATGCTGTGGACCAGCCCTGCACTGAAAATAATCACCCGTGGTTCTGCAGTAACGGAAACAGCAGCTCGATGTAACAGTTTTATTTGTTTTCTCTGTTAAAAGCAGTGATACATGCAGTGGGCACAAGACTTGCTAGGCATTAGTGTCATAAATATTCACATGGAGAGAAATTAAAACGTCAGCGGGGCAATGAGGACAAGCATCACTTAAATCCCAGCGTTAACCTGAGAAGGAAGGGAAAGATGCGGAGGAGGCAGAGCGGGCTGGCACCTTCCTTGATTCGACTCTCTCTATCAGCTCTATTAAAAGCTGGAGCCACCTTCACTTTTGTTCTTGCTGTGTGGTTAGTTCAAAAATGAAGATGAGAAGCAGTTCAGTTCCATAACGCTAATGAGTTTCAACAGGAGAAAAAATATTTGAGGTAAGAGATGTGAGAATGAGAAGCTCAAATATGCTCACCTTTTGATCCTCGAGCGTATTTACACTCATGTTGGTACTGAGCAGAAGTTGCCTTCTGATTTAATCTGCTTATGGGTGGTTTAGAAATCGCTTGTGAGCATTTTTAGAATTGCAGCTTTCCAATGGTATTTCCCATCTTAGCTGCAGTTGAACAAACAGCCTGGTCCCTCTGCTCTCCTCTGTGCCAAAAGATTTATTCCTAGTAGTAGTAATAATAATTTGCTAGTATTGCTCTGCAGTATTCTCCCCTACTTCTCTTGGCTGGCTACAGAGAGTGCTGTACCAGGCGCAGGTACGTGAGGTTGCTCTGACTGCAGGAGGAAGCGCCCATGAGAGACAGTTTCTCTGGACGGAGATGTCTCCACGCAGAAGCGAGGGATAACCTGGCCATGTGCTCACCACGCCACGCCGGGATCTCACAGCGGCGCGGGAATGCTTCTCTTCCTACAGACATCCCACGTATCGTTAATATCAACTGAATTGTTTCATGTATGTTATGTGCTGGATGGTCGTAACATGCGCGTGTGTTTTTTTCATGTTTCAGTCACACAGCACCAGGCGAAGCACAGTCAGCATCGTTAGCATGGTCAGGTAGGTGAGAACACAGAAGCACAAATATGAAGGGAAATCCAGAAATTGTTATTTTACATTCAGGTCCTGTGAACGCCAGCCCGGCATCCCCGGGCTGCCCCTCAGCCAAAGCTGCTCTTCCCGTCGTGCTGCTGAGCCTGCAGAGCTGCGTGCGAGCTTGTGGGGCTCCTGCACCCGAGCAGCAAACTCTGGGTGTGCCCGTGGCGTGCAGCCTCGCTGGTGTGGGTGCGACAGGGCAGAGACCAGCGTGATACCTGGTTTTTTACAGCTGACATCGCAGGTTGTTACAGCGCCAGGACAGCCGCAGCACTGGCACGGCAGGGCTCCTAGCTCTCCTCCTGCCAAGGGTAAATCAAGGAGTAAAGGTAACGGGGCTGTTCAGTGTAAGCAACAGGAAAAAACTTTTTCCCCCCCCGAGGAGTTGTAATATTCTCCATGTTGCCCTCTAGCAAATCCTCATAAAAGACTTCTTATGATTTTTTAAAAATATGTCTTTATGGTACTGCACTAACAGGTGACCTATCCGGTGGTATTCTGGTGGTGATGCCGTGATCTATAATGGGTCTCCTAGTAAATGTACATGTCAGAGAGAGCACATTTAGTACTGTCCAAGCATTGGTCAAAATGTTCTTTTCAGAATAACCATACCCAAGTGTGAGCAACATCTGGCTGTTCGGCATTTGCTGGAGAACACCAGTAGTCTGATGTTCCTGCAGATCACTTCTCCTCCAGAACAGATGGGGTTTGTACTCTCATCAGCTTTTCTCCATGCGGTTCTAGGCAATAGGTGTGGGGAGATGCTTTATGAACTGTTGCCTTTCCAAAATGAGAATTAGTTGCTGTTTCCTTAGTGGATGAGACTCTGAATTGTCCCTTTGCCCACTGATGAGGGATATGATGGGTCACAAAAGTCTGCCTGACTTGCATGCACATTCAAGCCATATTTTCTGTGTAAGGACTCCAGGGAGAGCTTCTAGAGCACAGGGTGGTTATTTCTTGTGAATAAAATTATTCTGAACAGCTACTTCTTCACACTTCAGCAATGGCTGGGAGCAAACAAGCTTTTACCTTTGCTTCTTTCCAGATGCATCTGTGCTCTGAAATCCAGCTATGGATCATGGCTTTTTTAGCTGCCTGGAAGCACTCAGAGTATCTCTGCTTACTGGGGACATCACCCATTACATTTTTGTCACAGTGAGAATTTTCTCTCCCTTCTTTTTCGTCGGTGCCTGCTGTATTGAACAAACAACTCTGCCTTCTTACAGAGCAGCGCAGGGCCGGGTTTCCCAGCAGCTTCCCTCTGGCTGAGCATGGCGATAGCTCTTCACCGGTAACGAACACGGGACCGTTTTCTTTCTGACTGGGGTTACTCCCTAAAACAGCTCCCTCATCTCTTCTGAGATACTTCAGCTCTGAGCAGACCACTTCTTTCTGCACTGGTCTTGGGGAGGGAAGCCTTGGAAAACTGAACACTCGCAGCAAATTGGGTTTCCCTGTGGCTTTTTCTTTCATGGTTGGGGGATGAAGTTCACTGTTTGGGGAGGAAGAGTTGCACTGCGAGTAGCCCGTGATGGAGCTTCTACTGTACGAAGAAGCCTTAGAGGAGCAGAGTTTTCCTGCGTGGGTGTAAATCTGTGCCAGGGGGTCCTCTCTGGACCAGAAGTCAGCTTCTGCAGGCGTGACTTTTCCCAGCGGCACCACATTTGAGATGAAATTGGTCAATTTACATTTTGACATTTCCTGCTGTGTCCCCCCAAGGGATGGAGACCATGACCCATCTTCAAGGGTCTTCAAGGTCTTTCTGTTCTGAACCTTATGGCTGCTTTCAGGAAGGCCCGGGAAGGTGGGTCTGGCGAGGTGGCAGATGGATTGAATGTAATCGTCGCTGGAGTACGAGTCTGGGCTGGCTGCAGTGCTTCCAGTGCATTTCAGATTGCTGCTTGAATCTTCCATCGCTTCCTCGTGGGTTTCGCATATGGTTGGGAGAGGCTTTGAAAGACTCAATCTTATCCGGGGTGCCATGGCTGCAAAGAACAGACCAGACATGATCAGCGTGTGAAAGCCAGCTGCAATAAAGAAAATCTGGGCTTGTTTCTGTAAAGTCCATGCTACCTGAGCCACCCCATATTTTCTTGTGGCTAACAGTGGTGTTTACAGAAACTGCATTTTAAAAGTTTGCTGGCAGTACTTTTATATCCGTGGCTTCATAAAGAGCCCATATATACAAAAGAAGCCAAGTGATTAAGTGCAGTAGAAAATAAAAGGTTCATTAAAGAGATCAGCAGCGGTGCTCCCTTCTGAAGCAATGCAAGGGGTCAGCAGCTGAAGCAGCGTGGCGCAGGTGCACTAGCTCGTCCCACTGTCTAGCTTGTAGCAGCAAGGGACAAACTACTCTTCTTATTTAATACTCTGCTGGTCTGTTCACTGTAACAGGGCTCTGACTTCATGTTGTGTCTGGAAAGGCAGGAGCTGATCTCGACAGGAGAGGAGCTGACCTACCCCCGTGGGGAGCATCATGTAAATAAAGTGACATTACAGCTGATCTCTTCTAGAAGCTGTAAGTGATAATGTACAAACATGTTCATTTTTGTCTCTGCCAGTGGTTCATGAATGTGGTTACAGAGTAGTAGATCCTTCCCTGAATGCTTACATAGAGTGAAAGGGATTTAATTCACATCCTTGATATTCAAATAGTTATCCTCAACGCTTTTGAGGATGGATTTTCATCAAACTGCTCCTGTTAGGTAAACCTTTTTACAAATATTTAATGTTGCAGTATTTGCTAACTGTACTGACTTTTTTTTCTCAAAATACTCTCCCCTGTGCTTTGCTTATCTCCCCTCCTGGCAGAAATGACCACATAGCCCAGATTAACTTCTTTTTTTTTTTACTATCCACCCCCCAATGGAATTTGTATGTGAATAATCTGTCGACACAATATAGCTTTGTTGTGTGATTAAACACAAAAGTGCTTTGCTAGCTATTTTAATGCCTTGCTTGTCATTGCTGGAAATAAATCTGGCTTTGTTGAACCTCCCTGCGAAGCTGCGGATCACATACGGAGCGCAAGTGAGCAGCTCGCGCTGAGCCCAGGGTAGAGCCCGCGGGGTGTCCATCCCTCCCCGAGCTGCTGCTGGCTTTTACTGGTTTTCATCTCAGGTGCTACTGGTAAAGTCAGCCGAGCTGGGATTTGCTGAACTGAGAGCAGGAAATGCTTGTTTTAAACCTTATGGCCTGTTTGTTTCCCTTTCTCTATTCTGTCTGCTCCTTTCTTCTCATTTCTTTAAGCATTAAGAAGAAGGCTTGCTCCTCCGCCTTCCCGTCCACCCCTTTGCCCGAGTTCAGCAGTGTCAGGATCGGGGCCTGCTCCGACCCCGGCGTTGAGGGGGCAGCCGGATGCTTCAGATAATGGGCACGGGCATGTCACGTTAACTTACGATAGCACTAATCATTAACTACGTCCTGTTAACGTGCCCTTCCTCCG